TCCCTCCCACCCATCCCTGCTACTGGTTGGGAGAGCCCCTTGTCCCAAATCCCCTCTTCCCAGGGTGGCCAGCATCCCATGACTGGTCAATGCAGGACCATTCCAGCTTCAGATCTTCCCCACAGGATCCACTAATTCCTGTCATGGTTGCATTGTGGCTTCATTTATCCCTCTGTCCAGATCTGATTCCTTCCCTAACCACACAGAGGTGGAGCCCAACAGCACTTCTCCAAGAAACCCTCTACAAACCAGTCTGTCTCCCAACCTGCAAGAGTAAGGGCCAGTGGGCCTGGCACAGTGGCCTGGCGGCTAAAGTCCTTGCCTAAAATGCACTGGGATCCCATATGGGCACCAGTTCGTGTCCTGGCGGCCCCGCTTCCCATCCAGCTCTCTGCTTGTGGCCTAGGAAAGCAGTTAAGGACAGCCCAAAGCCTTGGGACCCTATACCCACGTAGGAGACCTGGAGGAGGTTCCTCGCTCCTGACTTTGGATCTGCACAGCACCAGCCGTTGCAGCCATTTGGGAAGTGAATCATCAGACGGAAGATCTTCCTCTCTGTATATCTGATGTTGCAGTAAAAATAAAATAAATCTTAAAAAAAAAAACCAACAACAACCAGTAAGGGCCAGCGATCTGAAAGAGCACATATTAAGATGAGTTTTGAAAGCTGCCCAAGTACTAATGACGTTCCCACTCATTAAGGTAAGAGCTTGGGGAAGCCTACTGCTCAGGAAAAGCGCCAAACATTTTTACTGGTAGTAACAGGAATGTGCCAGCAGGTGTCAGCAGTCAGACACTCTTTACACCAAGCAGTCACCAGGAGCTGCTGGGACACCGGAGCAGGAAGGAGCGGGGATCCACGGAGGTGTTGTTTGGGACTCCCTTGACTCATTTTAGCAGTGAATGGGTGCATACAGCAGCTACAGTCAGATGCCCATGACAACCAAGAGCTCAAGCTCTCCAGGCCACCTCACCAGAGAAGCCACTGAGATCATCAGGAGAGGTTGGCTCACCGCTGCCAGTCATGCCCAAGGTGAGCGGCAGCAATGGCAGGAGCTCTAGTTTACCCCACTGACTTTTCTTGTAAGATTTCCAATAAAAGCACCCGGTACAGTAGCCTAGCTGCGAAAGTCTTTGCCTTGCCTGCACCAGGATCCCATTTGGGCACCAGTTCTAATCCTGGTGCTCCTGTTTCCCATCCAGCTCCTGTGACCTGGGAAAGCAGTTGAAGATGGCCCAAAGCCTTGGGACCCTGCACCCATGTGGAAAACCAGGAAGAAGCTCCTGGCTCCTGGCTTTGGATTGGTGCAGCTTTGGCCATTGCAGTCAGCTAGGGAGTGAATCATTGGATGGAAGATCTTCCTCTCTGCTCTCCTGCTCTCTGTATACCTGATTTTGCAATAAAAATAAATTAATTTAAACATATTTCCAGTAGGAAAAGATGCTTGCCAGGGTCTGGAAGGTACTGCTTTCAGAACTTTAAAGAGGGGCTGGTGTTGACAATTGTATAACCTGCAACATCGTATTCTATGCAGGTGCTGGTTCAAGCCCCGGCTGCTCTGCTTCTGGTCCATGCACCTGGCGATGGCTCCAGTGCTTGCACCCCAGCTGCCCACCTGGGAGACCTGGAGGGACTTCCTGGCCCCAGAGGTTGTGAGTATTTGGGAAGTAAACCAGTGCATGGAAGATCTCTCTGTCTCCCTGTCCCTTCTACTCTACTCTTTCTGTCATTTTGTCTTTTAAATAAGAACAACAAATACTAAGAAAAAAATAAAAGAGTAGCTGGACTTTTGAGTGTAGTGGGGGCAGTGCTTCCCAAACATAAGGAAGCTATTGTCCAAGAAGAGGTGATAGGTTGGGAATCCACGTCATTGGAGAAAGATGGCCCAGGTTTCTGAATGGTGGATTTTATTTGAAGGTATGGGATTAAAACAAACCAAAACATCTGTTGTTACTGAGTGTGGTGTGCAGTGCTGTCTAGATCCAAATGGTCTGAGCTGTCTAGATCCTCTTCAGGACTGCAGGATGATTCCCCAGGGAGCAGGAGGGTCATGGCTGCCTGATCTCAGCTGTCAGCCCCCTTGGGGAATTGTCCTTGACTAAAGAGAGCTTTCTTCCACAAGGTCAGGCCCCCTTCCCCCAGGTGGCAGGGGTGCGGCCAGCAAGGATTAGAAAGTCTTGATCCTTCTGCTGCAACCCCATGTGCTGGAAGGCAAGATAAAGATGTGAATGCTAAGAACAAGAATCAGCAGGAACTCTATGACAGTGTATACTTGGCCCCTGCCCAGTCCCATGCTGACCCTGGTTGATAGGAAGGGATGGGAGAGGTGAACAGCCAACCCTGATAACAAGGTCTGTGCTTCAGACTTTGATTCAGGGGCCCATGTAGAGCCACAAGTGCAGCAGGGCCCAGAAAGTACTACTTGGCTAAAAGAAAGGGCTTCCACTTTGTAAACACTACCATCTAGTCTTCGTCATTCCACACCGAGCTGAAATAACGTTTGACCCGGGACTCTCATGAGCTCGGTGGTCGTGAACATCAGTGGATATTATCTGGGCATTTCGTTCTGTACGGTTAGGACTTCTTTTACTAGTGGGCAATGGAAAAACCAAGCAGAAGTCAAGAATCATTCCATCCAATTTCTCCAGTACTTTGTAATGTGATTGGCAATATATCTGGATCCTTAGGATACCTGCATTGACCTGTGTTGATTTCTGTACCAAAGCAAAAATAAATTGCATAATTTAACATTCCTCCCTTCCCCCAAGAGTGCAGTGTTTGGACGGAAAAGTCCTTAGAGGAGCAATCACCTTCCTCAGCCTGGCTGGTGACATTGATCATTTTCTGCACATTTCTGCAAGGCAATTGGAGTGAGTGGAATTTGAAACCTGCTGAGTTTTGTGGACATGTAGGCATTCCCAAAATAGAGACAGATGTCACTCTTCTAGGTCTTTCTAGAGATGACCTAGGTGGTATTTCAGGAGAGTTCCCTCCTTCAAGGCCTTCATGATCATCGAGGCCTTCCTGTTTTCTACAGAACACTTGCATTTGTCCATGGTTCTTCACCCTCGCTGCTTCACTCATGCTGAAGTTAACAGTGCTCTGTCCTGGATTTTAAAGCCTTCTTTTACTTTTAAGAAAAAAAAGAAAAACATTATTTATTTTTGAAAGGTAGCATTACAGAGAGGCAAGGAGGGAGAGAGAAAGAGGTAGATATCTTCTATCCTAGCCAGCTGGTGGTACAGCGGGCTAGTCCCCATCCTGTGGCACCAGCATCCCATGTGGGCACCAGTTCATGTTTGGAATGTACCATCTCCCAAGGCTTTGGGCCCCTGCACCCATGTGGGTAACCAGGAAGAAGCTCCTGGGTCCTAGCTTTGCATCAGCTCAACTCTGGCTGTTGTGGCCTTTTGGGAGTGCAGCAGTGGATACAAGTCTCTTTTCTGAAAATTCTTCCAAATATATATATATATTTCCAAATATATATATAATAATATAGATGTACATACATATATACACATAATATATACATTATACCCACATACATATACATACACACACACTGCACAAAATCTTTCATCCTGCGGCTTCACTCCCCAAATGTCTGCAGTGGTCAGGGCTGGGTCATATTGAAGCTTCATCCAAGTCTCCCACATGGGTGCAAACGCCCAAGGACTGGGGCCATCTTCCACTGTTTCCTAGGCCCACCCTTTCCCAGGCCGCTCTCTAGACCTTCCAAGGGATTTGGTCGGTCCTACTATTTACCAGTCTCCTCCCTGCCCCCTCCCGAAGAGCTTTGCACTGGTTGTCCTGGTCTTGTTTTGTTCGCTCCATATCTTCAGGATACAGCCAGACTTTCCGATTGGTACTTGTGGTCTCCATGGAAATGCAGCTTTCTTGACCACCCTAACCAGAACTACCCTCATCCTCCAGGCTCTTCCAACTCCCCCAGATATAGGGTTCTGCTCCTGAAATTATTTTAAACCCATTTATTTTTTTAAAATATATATTTTTTACAGGCAGGTTTACAGAAAAAGGGAAGGCAGAGAGATCTCTGTCTGTTGGTTAACTCCCCGAAAGGCCACAAGGGAAGGAGCTAGGGTGGTCAGGAGCCAGGAACTTCTTCCCGGTTTTCCACATGGGTGCAGGGTTCCTAGGCTTTGGGCCATCCTCTACTGCTTTCCCAGACCAGAAGAAGGAAGCTGGAAGTGGAGCAGCCAGGACTCGAACCTGCGTCCATATGGGATTCTGGTGCGTGCTAGCAGAGGATTGACCTGTTGAGCCATCGCAGCAGCCCCTAAACCTATTTCTGTGTAAGCTTTGCAAGACTGAGGAGAAATAGTTTTTCCCATCCACTCCTGGACCCCCGCACCTCTGCTACCTGATGCCCAGTGGGTGGATCGTAGCGGTACGAGGTGACCACGGCTGGGGTTCGCCTTTCTCCTGCGGGAAGACTGGAATCTTCCACCCGCACCACTCCAACCTCTTCCTAAAAGGCTTATGGACTGCAAAGACTTCAAGTTCAGTCATGAACAACGACAACAACATTATTTTTATTGGGAGGAAAGCCAAGAGACTCCGTGGCTTGCCGGAAGAGCCCAGGAGCCCGGCGTGCGGGGTGGCAGGACGGGTCCCGGGCAGCGTGACAAGAGTCCCGCGGAGGTCGGGAGGACCCAGGCAGCGCGCGAGCCTGAGGGAGCCGGTGGCCAGCAGCCGGGCGAACGAGAGGGACGCCACTCCGAATCCCGAGCCCGCCTTGCCCGGCGCCGCCGCCGCTTCGCTTCCGGGTGAGGGGCGGGCGGGCCGAGCAGTTCCGGGGCGGGCGGCGGTTCCGGCTGTGCGGGCCGCGCCGCGGCTGCTGCTGCTGGTCCCGGGCGCGCTGAGGGGCGCGAGCGGGCGCGCACGGAGCCGGGGGTCCCGGGGGCTGCGAGGCGGCGGCCCATGGGGCGGGAGGCGTGAGGCCGCGGCCTGCCCGGGGCTCGGGGGGTGGGAGGGGAGCGGGGGCGGGGAGATGGATAAACTGACCATCATCTCAGGATGTCTCTTTCTGGCCGCCGATATCTTCGCCATCGCCAGCATCGCCAACCCGGACTGGATCAACACCGGGGAGTCGGCGGGTGAGCGGCGGGCAGTGTGCCCGGGGGCTGAGGGCAGGAGGGCGAGGAGACCCGGGTTGTGAGGAGAAGACGACGAGGGAAGGGTTGGAGGAGACCGGGGGCGGAGAGGGACGGAGACCCGGCGGCGAACGAGCGGGGACCCCCCCGCGACCCCTGCACCCTGCACCCCCTCAGGCTGAGGAAAAGTGGCGAAGGGAGAGACCTGGGGCTGGGCTGGAAGAGGGGTGCAGCCGCCAGAGCTGAGGGTTAAAAAAAAAAAAAGTCAAGGTGGGAGACCAGAGGAAACGCGGCGGGGGTCGGGGGAAACACTGAGGCTCCTGCGGCGGTGGGAGGAAGAGTCACCAGAGACCCGTGGGGCGCGAGGGAGGGCGCTGCGGCCCACCCACGCTCGGCGGGGGCTGAGGATGGTTGGCGGAGGCCGGGGGTGTGGGGGTTCGGAGCCCCAGCGCCCGCCGGCCTGGCAGCATTGGAGACGCTTGTGGCTTCCGATTTTTTTCCCCACCCCTCTGCTTTGAAGTGTTATGTGGTTATAATTTTTGGCTTTATTTTAGGCCCGGGAGCTATCATAATCCTAATAATAAACTTGATTTTATGGAGCATCTTTCATTCCAGCGCATTATCACCAAAATGCTGTGGCGCTCTCAGTAGTAGTTAGAAAATTAAATAACACGTTGCGAGTCCCAGGCGGCGGCGGTCGGGTGCGCGGGGCGGCTGGCGGGAGAGCTGCTGGTGCCAGAGCTGCTGGTGCCCTCGGGGAAGCCGTGGGTACCCCGGGTGCAGGCGCGCGCCAGGTTTGGCCCCATCTGGAAGTCACCTTCCCTCACCCCTTCCTCCTCTCCTACAGACCTGTAAGACCAAACCTTTAATTCATGCTCACAGCTGTTGGAGGGGGAGGCTTCTGGGAATTCTGGAACGAGCTTGCGTTTTAACTGTTTATTGGGTGCAGGTGAAGGGGATGTGCGGCGTGTTTGGGGTGGGGAGGATGCCAAGCCGGTTCTGTGAATAATGTTACCAACGTGTATCAGTACGTTGTCAAACTTCTGAAGTATTACTTAGGGTTCTGTATTTATCCTGCAGTATTTTTAGCTCATAAAAAAAAAACGTCGCTGGGACATTTGTTGCTTCCTCCAGGCTCCTTCCTCTCCCCTCCCTCCAACCTGCTTGTAGACCTAGTAACACACAGTCATGCTGTCAGATTTACAGGTTTATTAAAATAACACTCAGAAAAATGCTGCGACGTTTCTTGCCTGTGGAGATTTAGCAGAGCTCTTAATTGTAACACCCTCAGAAAAGCATCAGCCTGGTGCTTTTGTGTGCTGGAGTTGCATGTGAGGCAAGCTGTTCCTTGCTGTTGTTTTCACCCTAATTAGACATGTGAGTTGTGACTCCTGGTATGAGACTTTTGAGCTTGCTCCTGTAGAGGCAAAAGAGTTTGAGTGTTCTAGCAGAAAGATCAGTTTTGCCAAGATATATTTGGTGGAATCACAGTAGATAAATGTCCACTTTTGAGTTGAGAGAGAAATCCATACGGATGAAATAATAACGTAACCGTCTTCAGGTGAGGTGACAACGACTGTGACTTCTTCGCGTTTGGAGACAAGGTCATCAGCCGCGAGTTGCCATGGAGATGAGAAGGCCAGAAGTCCAGGGATTGAGGGAAGTAGAAACTGTCAGAGGAAAGGAGTTGGTGGCAGAAAAGGCATGCAGGCTGGGAGCACAGTAGGACTGGTTGTAGCAGCATGGTGGCCTCACTGCAGTGGGTGGTTAATGAACCCCTCACGTGATGATGACCTCCCTGTCTCGTTGGCCGTCTCACGTAGTGCTCAGCTTCTTTCCTAGCAGTGTAGGTGCATTTCCCAGCCACCCCTGGCAGTCAGGAATGCTGCTGTGAGTGCCTCCAGAAGGCATCCTTCAGATTGAGGCTTGCCAGCCTCATGCAACAACACGACACAGGAGTCCCACCGTCTTCTGAGTATTGGCAGAAGTGTCATTGTCTTGACGGCTTGTGACACCTCTGCTGGGCGAAGAATAGAAATGAGACGAGGAAAGAGCTGATGGATGGGTCTGCTGAAGGGTGGCTGACCTATAGTCAGTGAAAGAATGGACTGAATCAAATGGAGGTGCTCAAAGTGGGAGGGTTGGTCGAGCCCCATGGGACACAGAGGGTTGTGGGTGCAGGACCCAGACCCCAGCGGCAGGGCGGAGCAGGTTTCCTTTGACCCTCAGCCAAAGGCAGAAGGTAGCACACAGCAACAGAATTCCAAAATCATTCCTACCTGCAGTTATTACTTTAACTGTGTCAGGCAGTGAGCCCCATCCCCTTACTGTGCAAAAGACTTAAAATGTGACCGCCATATGTTTCTTTGCTTACTGTTGTGAGCTGTGATGAGATGCAGTCAAACTTGGCCTGGCCTTGCCAAGCTTTGGTGTTCACTGTGCACTTTGACCTGAGCAGACAGAGGAGTCTCAAGCTGGGAAGGATCAATGCAGAGTTCCGCCTTCCAAATGAGTGGTCCCTTCCCAAGATGTTCTAAACAGGAACTCGGACGTGACAGGATAGCCTTAGTCCAAGGTCGCAAAAGAGGCTTAACCTGGCAGCAGAAAGTTAATGTCTTAACTCTTTTCAGTATCAGATTCAGTCTATGAAAGTTTTTAAAAATTAATTAACTAACTAATTTGAAAAGCAGTTACACAGAGAAAGAGAGGTCTTCCATTCACTAGTTTACTGCCCAAACGGCCACACACAGCCAGGGCTGGGCTAGGCGGAAGCTAGGAGCAAGGAGCCTCTTCAGGGTCTCCCGCCTGGGTCCTGGGGCTCAAGCTTTTGGGCCAGCTTTAGCTGCTTTGCCTTAGCAAGGAGCTGGGTCGCAAGTGCAGCAGCCGGGACTGGAGTTAATGCTGGCCCCTCAGTTTATAAAAGTTTTGATTGTGATATGTTATTGCTATTTTTTTTAATGGCTAAAACAGATGTTGAAACTCCAGGTCTTGGAGATGAAATGTTAAACACCTGCAGGGAGGGGAAACTGAGAATTCTAATCTAAACTTCATCACTTGCAAGTTTTGTGGCTTTGGGACAAGTTGGTTAGCTTTATTTATCAGTTTCCTTCTCTGTAAAATAAAGGTAATAGTAATAGCCCTCTTGTGCTGATTGAGTGCACCCAGGGAAGATGTTGATAACAGTGCCTGACACCAAGGAAGTCCTGCTCTGGTTTGTAAGAATAGCTGTCAGAGGCCAGGTGAAGCGGGCGTTTGCCACACCAGCAGTCCAGTTCTGAGTCCTGGCTGCTGTGCTTTGAATACAACTTCTGCTATGTGCCTGGGAAGGCAGTGTGTGATGACCCAAGTCCTTGGGCCTCTGACACCTGTTTGGGAGACACTGGTGGAAATCCTGGCTGTAGCCGTGTGGGGGTGATAACCAGTACTTGGAACTGCCCTTTCTCTGTCTTTCAAATAGATACATTGTTGTTGTTGTTGTTTTAAGTCACAATTCCTTTTTTTTTTAAAGGGTTTATTTTACTTGAAAATCAGAATTACAGGGAGGGAGAGACAGAGAAATCATCCATCCACTGGTTCATTCCTAATGGCTGCTACAACCAGAGCTGAGCCAGTGCAAAGCTGGGAGCCAGGGGCTTCTTCCTGGTTTCCTAAATGGGTTCAGGAGCTCCAGGACTTGGGCCATCCTTCGCTGCTTTCCCAGGCCATTAGCACGAAGCTGAATCAGAAACGGAGCAGCCAGAACACAAACTGGCACCACAGAGAGAAGATTAGCATGCAACATCAGCAGGCCAGTCCCAGAATCCATTTTTTAAGGTGTGTTTGCTTGAAAGGTAGGGCTAGAGGGTCAGTGGGGAGTGAAAGGGAGGAATCTTCCATCCTCTGGTTCCATCCACCAATAGGAATGGGCCAGGTGGACGCTGGAATCCTTGAACGCTGAGCAGATCTCCCCTGCAGGTTCAGGGGCCCAAGCACTTGGGATGTCTTGCTGCTCTCCCAGGCTCAGGAGCAGGAAGCTGGACTGAAGCTGACTTGAACTGCCTTACCTTCTGTGCTACAGTCCCGACCCTCAGAACCCTAGTTCTGAAATTAAACCACAAGTCTCCTTCCTGGGACAAACGACACATTTTGTTTATTAGGTGTTATTGTGAGTAAGGAAACATCAAGACTGAAGGCCAGATTTAGAACGAGTTAAAGGTCTTCCCTCTAGGCTTTGGACTTTGTCCACCACCCTCACTGTGTTTGTCCTTTTCTAGTTTTTCATTGTCATTCTAGAGTCTGTCTTCTTCATCTTCTGTTTGCACTGCTGCAAGACAGGAGGAAATACTAAACAACCCCTAAGCAGTCTAGAATACCTTGCTAGAATCCCGACTGATGAACTGTATTTCCATGATTGTGGTCCCATAGCAGAGCTTTCAGTTCATACTGAGTTGGTGCACATGTAAAGTGTACTCTTTTTTTTTTTAACCTGGGTGTGGTGACATTTCATGCACTTGTCCTAATAGCTTGTGAATTATGCACAAACGAAGATGCAATGAAACAAATAGCTAATGTATGTATGTATGGGGCTTGGCTTGTTCCCAGAGAGACACTGATAAGGACCCTTAGCAGTTTCTGTGAACCAAAAATGTGGACTGGTAGATGGTTACAGTAGTTAATTCTGTGCTGAGGTCAGATTTTTGCTGGTTACTGGAATACATTGTCAACAGCAGTAGCTTTGATTTTATGTAATGCTTTGTAGTTTTTCAAGCACTATGATCCATTACTAGATTGATTCTTCAGACTTCTGTATTTGGCTGGTGCCAAACAATCATTTGCACAGTTTTCCCCACATCTCGGTTTTTTGAACATGAGATTTGAGTTTCAGTGCCGCAAAGGCTTCCTTCGAGAACATTTGTCAATAAAGTATAACCTATGTCTTCCTTAGGCGCACTTGTGTTTGTCTTAACTTCCTCAATGGCTAGAATTTTTGCCAAATTTCAGAAAAGGGAGAGAAGATTTGGATT